GGAGAGACATTAACAAACTGATTAACAAAACATTAATTAGGAAACTGTAGTATTGGCGTAAAGACTGATGAATAGACCCATAGGGTAGAACAGGTGTCAGCAGACTGTGGCTATGGGCCAGATCTTTCCTGCTGCCTGTTTTTGTTGGAGCAGAGCCATGCCCGTTTATTTAGGTATTGTTTTTGGCTGTTTTTGGGGTACAGTGGCAGGGATGAGTAGGTATGACAGAGAGTACATGACCCAAAGCTTAATATATCTACTATCTGACACTACAGGAAAAGGTTTCTGACCCCTACTGTGGAATACAGAGTTCAGAAATAAATAAACTCATAAATAGAAACTTGGGATTAAGATTATGTTACCACTGAGTAGTGGGTGTAGGAGTCTTTTCAATAAATAGTGCTGTGTCAGTTGGATAATTACATGAAAAAAGAAATTATTCTTGATCTCAATTTAAACCATGCACAAAAATCAATTCCATCTTAATGTTAAAGTTAAGCAGATAAAGTTTCTCAAAAATAATACAGCAGATGTTCAAAATTATTTTTAAATACTACAGATAAAAAGCAATAAGAAAAAAGTAATAAATTGATACATTGGACTTTAATAAAATTAAGATGTTCTGATGTTTAAGACTTTGTAAACTACAGGCAAGGCACACAGTGAAAGAATATATTTGTAACCTATAGAGACAACAAAAGGTTCTAGTTCCTTCAAATATAAGTAATATATGATACCAGTTAAAAAATAGGCAAAAGACTTGGGCAGATATTTCACAAAAGAAAATGTCCAAATGATCTGGTCACATAAAATGCTGTTTCACATCATTAGTCATCAGAAAATGCATATTTACAGAACAATAAATTAGGATGCCTAAATTAAAAAGACTCATCATTCAAAGTATTGGAGAGGATGTAAAGCAGCAATAGCCCTTGTGCACTGCTGACTGTAGCGCAAATCAGTACAATCACTTTTAGTAGTGTCTGTTATCACTGAACATGCACATACCTTATGACCCAGCAATTTTTATTATTCAATTTATATCTAGAAAAACAAATAATGTTCAATGATAATGTTCATAGCAGTAAATTAGTAATAGCGTCCCACTGGAAAAAACTGCATACTCATAAAATGAATACTACAAAATAATGAAAATATGGAATTTAAAAGGCCAGATGCAAATGAATATATGCTATATCATTCTACTATAAAATATAAAAACTGGAAACATTTATTCATAGTGAAAAAAGTCAGCGTATTAAGTAGGGCAAGTGAACTAGGGGTTTCTGTGATGCTGGTAATGTTCTATTTATTGATCTGAGAGAGTGGTTACATAGGTGTATTGACTGTCAAAATTCATAGACTGTACATATAAGACACATACACTTTTCTGCACACATGTTATAGTTTATGACAGCATTCAGGTTCATTTAAAGGATAACACATAGAGAGGGAGTAGGGAATGGGAGGAGATGGGGTGATATCTTAGACAGGGAATCAGAGAAAGCTTCTCCTAAGAGAGCATATTTTAACAATGACCTGTTTTCAGTGACCTGAAAGAAGCAAGTGAGAAGCCATGTGAAGCCACGGAAAGTCATATTAAGATCTGAGATAAGAATATTCCAGGTAGAGAGAACATCAATGCAAAGGCTTTGAGATGATATCATGTTTGACGTGTTTGATGAGTATCCAAAAGGCTACTTGGGCTTGAGTAGAGTGAGAAGAGTTGTCACAAATTAGATTGGCTGGCACATATTAAACTATTGAGTGAATGGCTTATATGAAGATTGACATTTCTGGTCTTGGCATGATTATTTCTTGTTATCTGTCCATTATATATACATGAAACATTGTAAAATGGTTTTCAAAAAACCTGTCTATTAGCCTTAGAAAACAACAGATTTAACACCAGGGTAATCACTTCACTTAGTTCAAGAACTGAATTCCATTTCACTAAATCCTCAAAGTCCAGACAAAATCTTTTGTTCATCTTATACAATTCCTAATGAAGGAAAAAGATAGAAACCAGCAGTTAATCAAGATATTAGTTAAGTTGAGGGAAAAATATGTTAATAAAAGCATAATCTCCTCATTTACTGATCATTTATGGTAAAAGAGCTATATGTAAATTTTATATATACATATGAAAGTTTTGGCGGGCACAGTGGCTCATGCCTGTAATCCTGGCACTTTGGGAGGTCAAGGCCAGCAGATCACTGGAGGTCAGGAGTTTAAGACCAGTCTGGCCAGCATGGCAAAATAGTCTCTACTAAAAATATAAAAATTAGCCAGGCATGGTGGCATGCACCTGTAATCCCGGCTACTTGGGAGGCTGAGGCAGAATTGCTTGACCTTGGAAGGCAGAGGTTGTACTGAGCCAAGATTGCACCACTGCACTCCAGCCTGGGTAAAAGAATGAGACTCTGTCTCAACAACAACAACAACCAAAAAAAAAAAAAAAAAAAAAAGAAAGAAAGAAAGAAAAGAAAGAAAGAATGTCAGATTTAAGACACGACACCAGCAGCAATGGAAACGGAACAATAGAAAATTATTCTTTCAAGGACTTATTTCTCTTAAAGACATAATTATCTAGGGTTGTCCATGAAGAATGAGCAACATCATTTGAGGTGGAAGCTCATTATCAGGTGGCAAAAATCAATAATTATACTTTCTACATTTTCTAAGAACCTAGACATACTGCACTTTACCCTGTGATGTTTTCCTTTTTAATTTAAAAATAGCAGCATCAACAATCACTACCAAGAATAAAACAATAACACATGCGAGAACAAGATACATATTCAAAGTCCTGAGACCTCACAGTTTCCCTGAGAGTTGCGAGTGTCCTGCAATGAGACAAGAGTTCTGCCTAGAAAGAGTTGCTGCAGAAGCAGGAGACACTAAACTTTAAACAAAATCATAGAACTCTTTCAACCTTTCCTCTCGTATTGAGTCTATGTTAAAGTGTCATAAATCTTGTTGACAGTTATTGCCACATCTATTGGCACGCACTCAGCATCTGTTTGAAAAGAGTTTTGCAGCTTAGGTAGGGCCCATTACATGTTCTCTGTCTTCTCTTACACTTTATTTTCACCCCAGCAAGCCACACCTCACATTAATTTCTTAGGCAGCCTGTACTTTCCCTTACAGCCACTTAGACAGTGCTCTTACAGCAGGTCTGTGCATCACCAGAAATGCATTGCACCTCTACGGGGAAATCAGAAATTTAAGAGCAGCAGGTACAACCTGAACTATTTGCTGAGGTGACGTGGTCTCTGCTTCTAGATCAGTGAGGGTCGTCATGGTGATTTGGTTATGTGGTTCCGAGGGAATCAGTGCTGTTGGCCAATACAACCTTAAGAAAGTGAGCGATGTAGATGTGCAACGGAAGGGAAAGCAGTAAGAAAATATGATATCCCACGATTCACCATGAAGAAAGCAACAAATGAGTAGACGAGACAGTAAGAAATTACCTGCATAAATAAGGCGTTCTAATCATCCCAATACCTGAAAAGAGTGAACTTTAGTCAACTTTTATTGGGACAAATATTTTAATAGGAATTGCCCCTTTCTTCAGAAAGGAAGATTAAAACACATCATAAATCAAAGCTGGACCAGAAAGCAGTCAGAACCTAACTCTTCATTAAAACTGACTTAAAGATGTCCAGTCATGAGGACTCTACTTTAATCATAACTTTTTAGAAAACTTAAAATTTTCCATAAACTAAAAAATGGGTATTTATTTTTATTCTTCTGTGGTGCCAGGACTCATTTCTATAAGGGCTACTGGTGCAGTTAGAAAATGGCCCCTTCACCTCTGCAGTAAATGTGGGCTATATGTTTGGATGTGCTTCAAATATTCTAGATGGGTAGCTTTGTGCATATTTTAAATTTTACAGAGTATTATCTTACATTTCTACTTAATCATTGTTTAAAATGTAGAGCTGTAAAAATCACACAAGGAGGTAGAAAAGTCAGAAATGTTTATGTCCATTTATATAGGTTTTGAGACTGACGTGGCAAAGATAATTAGATCGCAGATTTCTTTTTTGTTTTTAACCATACAACTTATTGTAGTCATGTGCTTATGTGTCCAGCATTGGTAGGTTCTTGGTCTCATTGACTTCAAGAATGAAGCCACCGACCCTCACCGTGAGTATTACAGTTCTTAAGGATGATCTGTCCGGAGTTTGTTCCTTCTGATGTTCAGACGTCCGGAGTTTCCTCTTCCTGGTCGGTTCGTGGTCTTGCTGACTTCAGGAGTGAGGCAGCAGACCTTCACAGTCAAGGCGGGGGCATCTGGAGTTCTTCATCCCTCCCGGTGGGTTCCTGGTCTTCCTGGCTTCAAGAGTGAGGCCGCAAACCATTGCCCTGAGTGTTACAACTCATAAAGGCAGCACCGGACCCAAAGAGTGAGCAGCAGCAAGACTTGTTGCAAAGAGCAACAAAACAAAGACACCACACACCGCAACACGAACCCACCGTGTTACTGCTGCTAGCACCCATGGCCTGCTTTTATTGCCTTATCTGGCCCCACCCACATCCTGCTGATTGGTCCATTTTACAGAGAGCTGATTGGTCCATTTTACAGAGAGCCGATTGTTCTGTTTTCAGAGATTGCTGATTGGTGTGTTTACAAACCTTTATCTAGACACAGAGCGCTGATTGGTGCGTTTACAATCCTTTAGCTAGACAGAAAAGTTCTCCAAGTCTCCACCTGTCCTAGAAGCCCAGCCGGCCTCTCACTGGTACCCACGATGAGACTTCGCAGCATCTCCCTAGCACCCACGGTGAGACTTCGCAGCACCTAGCCCAGGCGCTCCCGCAGCCCAGAGGGAGTTCGTCCCCGTCAAGCATAGCCGTCGCCAGCCGGCCGCACCGAGTTTGGTCCGCTGAGCCTGCGCCCACCGAGAACCTGCCGGCCGCGCCTGCCGGCGAGCGCCCACCGAGAACCTGCAGGCCGCGCCTGCCGGCGGGCTCCCGCGCACGCCTCCCGCTCCGCACCTCCCCGTGAGCAGAGGGAGCCGGCTCTGGCCTTGGCCAGCCCCAGAGAGGGGTCTCCACAGCGCAGCGGCGGGCTGAAGGGCTCCTCGAACATCGCCAGAGCGGACGCCAAGGCCGAGGAGGCGACGAGAGCGAGCGAGAGCTGCTAGCACGTTGTTACCTCTCACTTATAGTGCACAAAACTAAAAACTAAAAGCTGTGTGTAGGAAACGCAGTAGCCTTTAATGTCCATGTCAAAAGTCTTCCCTATCAGCGGCTACTAAGTGGAAAAGAAAGTTGAAGGAAGGCAGCCTGGGTAAGTTGAGCATTCTGATAAACCAGTTGGTGTGATACTAATTTGCTCTTTTTTTCCCTTGCCCATGGAATATAACTCATTTTTATCATGCACCTTTGGGAAGACTGAAAACCAAAAAATACCAAAAGAAAAGTCAGTACAGTCTTAGAATTAATGTCTTCCCACCCAAGCTACTGTGTTCTGGTGCATGAGTCAGGTGCCGCAGTGCTACAAGGGTCAACCGAGAAGAGTGGGTTGTTCAACTACTGTGGCAGGAATCACCACAGCATGGACATTCTCACCTGGAGGAGGACTAGTAATGAATCTGAAGAAAACATTATTCTTAAGAGATAATACTAGTGGAAGAAAAAAAAAAAAAAACTAAGACAAAAGAGGGAATTCCCTTCTCCTGACTATACATTTTCATCCTCCTTTCCTTTGGGGTAATGGCGTAATGATTTGTTTTCTTAGAGAACCTTGTTTTGTTGTTTCCTACTATCAGCTTCCTCTGCAAAACAAAAACACCACTGAACCCGCCTTCCTCTTGAAGTGATACTTTGCATGCCTGATTTTCTGATTAGGGCTTCCAAAATGATTTGTGTTCAAGTATGTTTTTATTCCATGCTTTATTTTGATACCTACATGTCCATTATTAGCTTGTCCCCATTAACAATATAAGTACACATGCAAACACACACATGCACACACACTCTATTACAACACATATACACAAGACATATCTGAGTACTCACTAGTAAATACTCATGTGTACTAAAGTCTACCACAGGGGTTTCAAATGTCAGTTTTGTTTTTTAGTTTAATTCAACTTTTATACCTAGAGTAATTCATTTATTTCAGTTTTGATTTTTTAAAAATGTTTTGGATAACAGAATGGCTCTTGAATTGCAAAGGAAGTTAAATTTCAGTATCTACCATAAACAGCACATTCATTTCATTCCTCAAGAACGAAAACACCTGTTATAGTTCCTTTTTGATTGCTGACTTTTACATGAACATTTGGATGAAAAGTAATGTTTACAAAGATAACATATAAAATATTCAAAAGACAAACAGCAGAAATGAGAAACAAACAAAAAAAAAGCAAACAGAAATTTAAAATAGTTTATCTTAACAAAACAATTACAATAAGGAATTTATTGAAAACCTTTGGAAGAAACTGTTTCCAGTAATTTAAAATGAAACAGAAAATGTATTAACAAAGAATTGAAAATAATATCTAACTACACAAACGTATAAAATATCCAACTCAAAACAACACTGTTAATATGTCAGTATATTTTAGTTAACATACTTTTAAAATGAGACACGCAGATTACTTCATTGCATATCTGAGGGCTCCTCAAATCCTACACACATTTTAAATGGTTAAATTTGATACAATTACTGTCTTTTTAAAATCAAAAGAGCATTTTCATACTTTCAGACTGAGTAAAAGATGCATTGACTCCTTGCTTCCCACTAGACTCACTAGATATTCTGATACTGCACTCGTGGTGAGCTGGCCAGAGTGATGTCGTGAAAAAAAGACAAAAATACCGAGGACATTTGGGGAAAAAAGTATTTATCACCAAGTATAAAAATATTTGTAAAGCCGTCACTGATTAACACAATATTTCATTTTTGCTCAATTACTTACTAGAGAAATGTATAAGTAGCATCCTCAGTTACTTGCAAGTGAACATAGTTAGGTTATTTCATGGCAAAAACACGTTAAAATATGAAATGACTTCTCAAACCTATTTTATATGGAAGTCACATTTTTGTGCACATGACTTTTTAATTTTGAATAAAACTTTTTATCACAAATTCCATGAAATGTTCTTGCAGTAAATCTAAAAATGGAATGTTCTCTGATACTAGTTGACTTTCCATCTCTTACTATTCTTCTAACAGGATACTCTGAAAATTTGAATATCACAGACTTAGTAAGAAAATATGTTTTATGTAGCTTTTTGGGTTAAGAAGCATTAGTAGGAAAGCAAGACAGTGTGCTAAGGGCTATAATTATCAGAAGAGACATGCATTTATATATTCTGCAAAATAAAATTATTTAATGTTCTTTGTTAGTATTTTTGAAAATATTGTTTGTGTTTTATTCACAGAAATTCAGTTTTACAAATAGCAGCTGATTTTTTATTAAACCAGAGCCAAATTACTAATTTCAGTATTAATAGTTAGCTTTGACATGTTTAAAAAGGGTAGAAAGTACTTAATAGACCTGTCTTCAACTCTGAAATGAACAACTGCTCAGGGAAATGGAATTGTTCAAAGATACATTTTCTTTCTGCCAATCTGTGAAATATAATATAATTATTCTCTTTTAATGAATCTCTCAACGAGGAGTAATCTTTCAGAGCCTGAGCAGGTAAAATATAATGATAATGGAAACAGCTTTGTAAATAAAAGGATGAAATGAGATTGTTATTTTGTGCCATATTATGGGATAATTAAAATAACAGTGCAGCGTTCATCAGGTATTTGAACTTTCTAAAAAATGCTCCCCAGGGCTATTTTAAATTAGTCATGTTTATCCATGTAGATTTGTAATCTTCCTGCAAATGTCTGTCACCTTATGATATTCAGATGTCAATACTTAATCTGATTAATATCTGATACTGTACAACAGCTAACAAACCTTGCCTAAAGCAGACATTAAAATAATAACCTGAGTTGATAAACTCAAATTTATTAAAAGAAGAACAATGGAACTATTTTCATTAAGCCAAGAGAACGATTACTCTCAATGTGGTGGAACTCGTGAACTATATGAGCTTCTATGTATTTCCACGAAACGGAATGGCTTCACACTTCCAAGGAGCTACTATTCACGTGATAATTAGCTCTATATAATAAAAGACTATATTCATGGAAACTAAACTCATGGCAGTGGAACTCCAATGGTTAGCTGCTTTGTTTAATTCAGATTCATACAGCTCAAATACTAGTAGATGATGAGATTTGATTTTTCAAGAAACAAGTTTCTTTGCAGTTCACTGGACCCTCCTATCACCCTTCTTAGATAAATGTGTGCAAGAAGAATCAAGTGCTAGAGTGTGGCCATTATATCACATCCATTAAAGTTATTAGAAAACAAAATATAAATAAAGAAGGTAAAATAAAAGCCTGATATCTCTTCTGGTATAACTTTAAATTGCTGGTGAGATGTCATTTCACAAAATGGTACAATTGAAGTTTTATTCTCAATTAGGTTATAGTTTTTCTCAGTTACTGTTCTCTATCTGGAGGAACAAGGAAAATGGTTTTTAATATCAATAAAAAAGTAACCATGACTTATGTTTCATACTTTCTGTAATTGATTTCATGTCTTTTTAATAGTTCTTTAATGCTTATGTTTTTTAAAAATCCTCCCCAATTTATTGTCAGATATCCTGATGATAGAAAAAAATAATTGTAATTTTCTGGGGAGCTATCTACCACCTTAGCTTCAAATCATTACCCTCAAAGAGCGAGATTGCTATCAAGCTTTATATTTAGGAAATGTGTATGGATTCATATTTGGAAACTTTATGTGTCTGCTATGAGAAGGTATACTCTATATGTGTTATTTAATTACTTGAGCATTATATTATCAGGCAATATTTATTTAGTTTGGAAATCTGTTTTATATTTCTACCACTGCATATGTTAAATTGACTTAAAGTTAAGATGCAGCCTTACTCTAGGTAGGTGATCTGCCACTATTTTCAATAGACAGAGGACTAGACAACTGTGCCACAGAAACAAATAAGATGATAATTTTACACTGATATCAGATATCAGGGTCTACAGAACATACCCATTAAAGCATTTGTATTTTCTAACCTTGTCTGCAGTTGCAAAATTCAATCGCTAGAAATATAGAAGGATTTTAGAATAGCATATAGAATTTTGAAAATAAACAAGGTATTCTTCCTCAGAAGTCATACAAGATTAACAATCTGAGCCTTAATTAAAATCCAGAGTTAACACATTCATTTCCTTTTTCCCTTGCAACTATTAAATTGATTAATAAACCATATATTTTTCAAAATGTGACTGGTGCTAAAAACTCATTTTTCTTGTTTCCCTACATTCATTAGGTGATAGAAAGTTGCTCATTATTCTGCCATTCCTGTGTACCTTTTTGGATTTTGTCCATTTTCCTAATTTCAGCTTCTTTTCAGGAATGAAGAAGTTGATGATCAATGGTGATGACTTCATTTATGTACTAGAAAACACCACTTTTCTGTTTAAATGATTACTTATCTGTTATATTCAATTTAAAATGACTTTGCAGTCCTACCAATTCTACTGTAAAAGGTTATAGCATTATACTGCTTGTCAGATTTTGTTTTTAAAATTATATGGCACATCAGATTTTTTAAAATTTTACTGTTGAACAAGGGGAAAGGGGGCAATAATGATGGTCATGAAAAGGTAATTTGTATAGCTTCAGAAGGGATATGAAAATATGTTCTAAATATTGTCATCTAGTGGCTCAGTTCCTCTAAAATATTATTCATATTTCTAGTTTGTGCTTTTTAAATTTCTAGGAGCTACCAGTGTCTGCAGTTTTTACAGTACTATGACAAATAGAAATTTCATTAATGCTTCTCGATAATGCATATGCTTTTATAGGATAGCCAAACAAAAGATAAGAGTACCTGGTATTATATATTGAAAATATTTTTATTTTTACGTTTTAGAAATATGCCTTATATTTTCTAATTTCTTTTTATTACTTTTTACAAACTTTAAAATTATAACTTGAAAAAAATCTTAGAGCCATCACATTAAGATACCCGGGTATATGATGTAATCTTAAATTTAACAGCAGTTTTGATATTTAGTCTTATTAAGCATGTGCTATTATTTGCATTAACATTGCTAAAAAATTTCAAAGGAGGCAGTTTAAAAACATAGTTAGGACCTCATTTTGAGACATCTACTTAAAGGTTACTAGGTAGCAAATGTTTGGATCTGTCTATTTTCAACCAATGAAAATATCATGGTATTGGTGT